CTTTCCGCGCGCATCTTTCCTCGTCTTGTTGGCGGAAAAACAAAAAGCAACGTCACCACCACCATCTTATTCTTCGAAAGAGGAACACGCACGTTACATCGGAAAATCGCTTTATGACGTACGCAGAGAGCACGCGCACACACTATACAGGATATTCATCGCGCGATCAATTGATCGATCGCTAAAGAGAGCAAGCTACGGTGGATAGTTAGCTAGCTAGCTACATAGATAGAGCGCGAGAGAGCGGCATAGACGATAAAAGATTGTACGAGAGAAAAACAAACTTTATCAGAGAAGCATGACACCAGTAATGCATCCATTTATGAGCATCAAATAGTCATGCTTAGAGAATGCGTTTGCATTTTGGGGGAAATAGGAGAAAGTCATTTCATCTCATCAAAGGAATGTAATCTGAAAAGAATAGAGTTGTTGAAATTCCACAAGAATAAATGAATAATATTGTCGGGCTCATAGCAAAAGCGACTGAGGAATTGCAACTTCCTGTTAGCAAGTCAGTTCCAAAAAATGTTCTCTTTTTTTCTGGTTTTCTAAAAAGATGGAAATACTGTATGACTTCGGGCAACGACGCTATTCGACTCACGACGCGGTCATGTTCGCGCACCGCACGTAGGCTCATTTGACGTCGGTGCTGTTGTTTTGCTTTTTGTTTTTTGTCATGACTGGCTTTTCTGGACACAAATCAGTCCCGAAGAAATCACCGCACCAAAGTCAGCGTCAGCAAACAGATGGCTGGCCTGTAATCTATTCTGTGATTGGATTTCTGTCCTGAAGAAAATCCCTCAACACACGCACGCGCACACTCAGGCGCACGAAGATGTAGACATTCAAGTCAAGTCCGGTCGTTGTTACGGCACGCCGCGCAATCAGACACCGCGCGCTACGACAAAGCCATCGCAAAAGCCCATCGAAAGCTCAGGCTGAAAATTGGCCCGATAGCATCTTAGCGTTTGAGCTCGGCGGCATCGGCGAATCCGTTTTCCAGGTGTACGGCCGAGTTTGGAAAATCATCACGACCGAGCCGCGGTGTTGCGCTTTGGCTTTGTGTCGGGTCGAGTGGCGGCCCGATCCGCCCAGAATGTTTCTTTTCCAGCCTCGGATTTTCTGCCCATTTGGAGAGCGGCTTGCGAAGGAAGGAAAAGACGGCGACGCTCGAGATTTTTCTTCTTCACGCGCTGGAGAAAGGCGGCCAAATGGCGCTCGGTCGACGCGCTTTGACGCGGGATGCGGGAACTCACCGAGGGGCTTGAGGATGCCCTTGCCGGCCTCCTCGCCGGTCTCGTTGTCGGAGGCGGTTTCCGACGTCCGCTCCTTCCTGTCCTTGTGGCCGGGCAATCGCCGCCGGTGGCGTCGTCGGCGCCGGTAGCTCTTGGGCACCCGGACGCCGATGTAAACGGTGTGGTGACCTGAAGGCAGAGAGGGAAAGCGGTGACCTGGCGGACCAGAATCCCTTGTAAAAGGTTGCGTCGTCAGGAGAATTTTGTATTTCCAGCAAAATATCACAGTGGAAAACGCAAAGAGAATTGTCAGAGAATTAGGAAGGGGGGACGAGTTTTTGTCTTGAATTTCCCAGCGACGCAAGACGGGGGAATTGGACGAGTTTTCCAGAAGCGAAAAGTTCTCAATTCCATTTGGAAAAAGATTTTCGATGGCATTTCACGAGGAGACGGGTCGCGCAGTTCTCGAGGGAACAAAGTTGTAACGGTCCACAGAAGTGGAGTCACGGCTTACGCCGACTTTTGGCACGAATGCCGAGAGGCAATCGGAGTCAAAGACGGTGCCCAAATCACCCGGGCGGGCCCTCCAGCGAGGAATCTTCGCACGCGGCTCCTAAAAAAGGCGAGGGAGCCCGGCGCGGGGCGCCCGAGCTTACGCTACACTGTCAGCGCAAATATCGAGAGGGGAAAGACAAGTCGCGCGTCTCACTGAAGCGAAAGAGCGGCCGGGCCGGGGCATTCACGCCGGTGAAAGCGCAAAGAACAAAGCTGTTTGCCCAAAGCACGCCACTGAAGTGCACCCGAATGCCAGCGTGCCCACCAATAATATTTACTCTCGACGCGACAGACATGAAGACACCTGGTGATCGTCGGCGGTGTTTGGGCATACACATCTTGGATGGAGAACAGCGCCGGCGCCGGCCCCCGGTCGAGCTGAACCCGCGCGTGCGTTTCAACGCCGAGCTGCCGACTCATCATATTTACGACGACGGCGACCGCCGAATCCGCTTCCAGACTTTTTGCGGCACGATCCCTTTCTCGGCGTGGCTGCAAAAGCCCGAGGCCCGACGCGCCCCCCCCGGCCCGTTTGACATCGTGACCTCTCGAATCCAATTAGCAGCTCGTCAGCAAGCTTTGCAGGAGCCACAAGGACCATCCCGATCAGTTGAATGGGGTGCGAGCGTGCCTTAAGCGCAGCTGCCAGCGCCAACCGCGGTGACGGGAGCCTTCAACCCAAAGACCAACTTTGGATCAGCCGAGACAAAAAAAAAAAAAAAAAAAATGACATGTGACCACAACAATTGAAAACGAGCAGTCCGTCGAGTGACAAGAAAGAAAACAAATGAAAACAAAAAGCCCCGTGTGAGACGGCCCTGAAAGGAGCCCCGCGCCTCACCGGGAAGAAAAAAAACAACAAACAACGGCGGTCTTTTGGCGTACAACGACTTTCATTATGCACGGCCAGAACAACGCGGCGGCGTCGCAGCGGGCTCCGGCGAAATACGACCGGGCTTGAATGCCGTCGCGTCCGTCCGAGGCCCGCCCCCGGCTGACTCGGGGCCGCCCGGACTTCCGTAACGAGAGCGTTTGGGCCGTTCCGTTGGGTGTCATTTTTTTCGCCCGGCGAGGCGACTTTTGTCTTGGATCTCGTGCGAGTGTCCCGCGGCCCTCGGGCTGGGCACACAAGTCTGCTTTGGTTGGCGAGCTTGTGATGTTTCGGGCCAGCACGGCCCGCACTCGGAGGCCTCGGACGAGGACGGCACCGCGCTCTTGTTTACGGGACAACAGCGTTCAATGAAAGTCCCGCCCGCATGGCGAGCGGCCCCACCTTCCTCGACAGCGCCGCTTCCCGTCGCAAATCAAGGCGCGGATGCTGACTCGGCGCAAGCTGCGCTCGCGTGTCATCCTTTGCTGGCGTGACGCTAAGATGACGCTCCGTGCTTTGCGCTTGGTTTACAATTTGTTTTGACTCCAAATGATCTTCGGTTTGCTTGTCAGCGAAAACCGTGTTTTGTACCCAATACTGCGCTTGAGCTCGGGTTTCGCGCTATTTCAACAGCAGCCTTTCCGATATTCCATGACGATGTGCATACGCGTGACAATACGGTGCTCCAACAAAAACCAATGTTAAAAAACAAAAAAACGCGATCTGCGCATGCCACTCTGCAGCCAGGCTTAATCCGACCGTCGCACTTCTGCGGGCGATAAAGGTCGCGAAACAAATCGCCACCGAAACGTGTACGCGGGTGGAGCATTTTCATTCGGTGAGCAAAACGCACGTCTTTGACCGCGGAAGAGGGCTGGAAATCTTCCAGACTCTCGGATCCTTCGCTCGGGCTAGCTGGTGGCAGCTCACGCTCGCTAGCTCGCGCGTACGTCGACGAAAAGAGCGGCGACAAGAAGTGCGTTTTTTTTGTTTTTTTAAACTGTACTTTGGACCGGAACTTGGGCCGCGACTGAAGAGCTTTGGCGAGACCACAAGGACGGTCATGAACGCAAATTGAGAAGCGGCCGGAGACCTGCCTGAGTTCGCTTTTCATTTGCGATTAGGCCTAAGCGGGAGCCAACGTCATGGTTCCACGCGGGCGAATTTGGCTTGGAAATTCAAGGCGGCTCTTTGCGCAGATGGACGAGCGGTCGAAGGAGGCGAGGGAGCACGTCGCCGCTGAAAGGAGGATTCGCAGGACGCCGCGGCAGCTTTGTGGCACCACTTCCTCTTCTTTCTCTCACTGGGAGAGCTGAACAAAACCCAAGCGCTGTCGGATGCTCCCCGGATGTCCGAGCGGCGGCGGCGGCGGCCGTCACCCGCGGCAACCGGCCCTGGGGACCACGTCGGAACGCCGCGGCGCATGCTAACGATGGAGCCGACACTGCCGACGTGGGCCTTCTTTGCCGGACGCCGAAGGCGTCGCGGCAACTCGGTTGAGAGACTTTCTGGCTTTTCCGATCGCTTCGTTCGGTCGGAGAAAACTTGATTTGGCTGACTAATCAAATTTTGAACAGGTGAGAAACGCACCGGCGGACAAAGCCGCAACAGCGCACGTGGCATTTTGCTTTTCAATCAAGCTATTCGACTGCAGCTTGATGGCAATTTATTGAAAAAAGAAAGTCATGAGTTCCTTGAGTATATTTGCTTCGTTAGTTTGTGTCTGACTTTGCATTTTATGCTCTAGCTCCGGACGGAGCACACGCGCCTCGCGACGCCGAGGTCGTGCGTTCGATTCCGAGCCCCCGTGGCCTTTGCATGCACGTTCTCCCCGTGCCTGCGTGGCTTTCCTCCCGCACTCCCCGAAAATGCACGCTAGGGTGACTGGACGCTCTAAATTGTCCCCGGGTGTGATTGTGAGCGCCAACGGTTGGGGCCGTACCCCGCCTGCTGCCCGAAGACCTGCTGGGATCGGCTTCATTTTTCTTTTTGGGCATGAAAGGGGCCATGGAAATGTGTCGGAAGATATTTCCATCCCCCTGATTTGATGATTCTCTTAATCTGCGTTTTATGGTACAAAAAGATACTTTTCTTTTTCCTCTCGTCATATTTTAATTTGCGTTTGATCCCCTTCTGACTTCTCTGAGCGCTCGATTGTATTGCTGTCTTAGTTTCATTCGCCTCGTGCGACACATTCCCCGGTCGGGGGTCTGCTGAGACAGAACGGGCCTCCCGAGCCGCTCCGCCAAGGTTCGTCACGTCACAAATGTCACGCTGTCTCTTTTTGGCTTTTTGTTTTCAGCCTCTATCGGTCAAACTGAGCTCAACGGTGAGCCGCGTGGAGATTCCCGCCCGAAACGCGCGGGGAGGCGTGAGTGGGCTCAAGCTGAGGTGACAGCTGACAAAACTCCGGCATCGACGGCGTGCTGGCAACCGACTGCGTCGCTCTTTTCGGACTTGACTTTCTTGGGATTTGAATCGGTGCGCGCCGTCTTTGCGCCCGCTCGCCCGTGTTGTCCCATCACGTTTTCGGAATTTTGGGTTGTTTTTGCGTATGAGTCCGAGTCAGTCTTGAATTGGTGTCCCGAGCCCATCCCTCGGCAATGCGTCGACAAGAAAACCAGCGTGCGTTCAAATTGCCAACATGAGAGCGCTTTTATAGGGCAAGACGTCCAGTTGTCAGCTTGTTGCGGCGGCTAATGTTCCTGCGTTTTGCTGTGCCATGCGGACAGCAGGCAATTTTAGGTGCCGATCAACATCGACTGGATTTCTCACTTGGGGGCGGTGCTCCTTAAAATCACTTTCTAATCACGGCATTTTTCTCATCAAACAAAAACCGTCAGAAAAGAGGCTTGTGTAGTGGGGTCCCAATCAAAATAGATGTCAATTCAGTTTTTTTTTTTTTGGGGGGGGGGGGGCGTACAGGGGCATCGCCATAAATTTGACTTGCGTGGGGGGGTGTCAGAGTTCAATTCCAAAGTTGTTACTCCAGTTGTAGACAGGAGATTGGCGTCATCAGCTTTTTCATTTGTTTCCAATTTGTAAGAAAAAAATCACGGTCAAGCGGGAATGAGAACGTTAGCTAAGAAACGGTCCAAACGAGCCAGGGCAGGGGGTGTGAACATAGGCGGCGTGGAACGTACCTTCCACCTCCTCCTGGTCGCAGACGTGCTTGACGAGGGATGCCCCGCGGTCCAGCACGGCCTCGTCCTCCATCCTGTAGTAGTAAAAGAGGAAGAAAGAGTGCTCACACCTCTCCTCCAGCGACAGCGTGGAGCCATAGCGTCTGGGCTCGTTCACCTGCAGCAGGTTGGGACTGGGACTAGGGCTCAGTCGGGTGCTGCTGGTGGCGCTCATGTCGCCCGAGCCCACCCCCCCCCGAGCCCCACGAGCCCAACGTCACCGCCTCCGCCCCCCCTCACCCCACCCCAATTCAGGGGACCTCAAAAAGTGAAAGAATGCGCGTCGCCCGTGTACGAGGGCAAAGTGCTGCGCGCCGCGGCTTGTGGCGCGGCGTTAATCCGGTGGCCGGGAGGTGAAGGCAAGGACAGGAAGCGTCCGCTAATTGGGTTAGCCTTCATGTAAACAAACCGCGGACATTTGAACTCATGGCGATGTCAACATTGTCACGGGGAACCGCAGGGATGCGTACCGGAGCCACATGCTCTTGACGGAAACGATCAAAACTAATCATAATGACCGTTAAAAAAAGGGAAGATGGCCGTGTCTTTGAAATTTGACATACTGTCTCACAGATACGTTTTGTGTACAAGCCTGACAAATTAGAATCATAAGGAGAAAGAAAGGATAGGACATTGAAAAACAATCAAGTCTCTGCTCCAGAAAGTCGTCAACTGTCAATCAAATGCAACCTGGAAAAATGCGAGGGGCTTTTCCACGCTGCCACAACGAGGCCTTCCACAGCGGCCGCGCCAGCGCTGACGATTGCCAACGGAACGATCTGAAGGGAAGACGTCGAGCTAGCTAGCGCCACATAAGATAAGAAAACCTTTCTTTGTCTCACAATGGAGAAATTCGCATGACCACGGACGGATAGCAACAATGATGCTGAGCGGCAGTCACGCCCGAGCCAAAAACGAGAACAATCCATGACTCCGGCGATTTCCAACTGTGATCGGGCAAGACAACAAATTGTCAAGTCGTGTCGTTGAAGTGGAGTCTTCCACATGCGCTATTCCAGCCAAGCGAGTATCACGTCAAGTGCGACTGGAGTGCCCAAAGGACCACAAAACAGAGCGCTCGCTAATTAGTAGAGCAGCCGGCAAAACATACTTGCCCTTCCTCCCCCTTCCTTTTGCTGGCCCCCCCCACACCCTCCCCCTCAAACAAGTGGGGCATCACATGTCTGTCTACTCATCCGCCCTTACAGGATTACGCCGGCTTTGCTTAAACGACAATCGAGTCGTAACACCCAAGACCACAACCACACACACACACACACACACACACACACAGACACACACACACACACACGCACACACACACACACCGCTTGGTTAATTCATGCCGAAAAAAGAGAAAGAAACGAGTGAGTGAGTGGGACCAATTGTTTCACCCGCATCATCAATGCGGGCTCACGGGAAACGAACACACATCAACCACTTGGTCGGACCGGCAACATGGGCTTGGATGTTGGACTCGTGGTCGACGTGCTGCGGGAAAGTCGAGTGGCCTCTACTCGGGCCTTCAAGTGGACGGCGCCTTCTGTCTCTTGATGGCGGTCAAGGGTTCAAGTCGATTGTTTGATGACGCGGCCATTTGCTCAGGGCACCGAGCTTGGTTAGCGCCACGGACGGGTTTCACCCAATGGCGTCTTTCGACCGACAGGCATAGCAACCGAGGAACGCAATTGCTTTGAATCCGACTCGCTATGACGCTAGTTACGGTAAGCGTCATTTGCGGGGGGTCGCTTGCACGTTCGTCTTCAGCAAATCGGCCAGTCTCATCTTGCGCTCAATAGGAGAGCCTTTGGTGAAAATTTGGGAAAAGAAATTCTTGTCCACTCCTCTCAGAGCGGCACATGTCGTCGGGAACGTCCCGTACGTCTACTCACGGTGGACGTTTCCTCCTAATCTCCACCGAGCGGATGTCCTGCTTTCACCCGCACTGAACGTTGCAGCTCGAGTGGCCTCAACAAGCTGCTGCTAATCCACACACACACACACACACACACGCACACACACACACACACACACACGCACACACACACACACACACACACGCACACACACACACACACACACACGCAAGGCAAGTGGTTGCGGCAATAGTGGCCGGCCCAGGTTCGCCGCCAGCGTCATTGCCATCTGTTGATCAAATTGGGGTACAACAAGGCCGGCTGGGCTCCAACTCAACTCCTCAGTCCACACAGAAAAAAGGCCCAAAACGATTGCGGTGCATATTGGCATCCTCCTCAACGGGGAGCAGGCCAGGCTCCTTTCGCTCTTACTTTAACAAGGTGGAGAAGGAGAAGCGGCTCAGATGAGGGATAGCGTTTAGCGTGATAGCTTCTGGTAAAAATATATCAGCTTCAAAAAAAAAAAAAAGGCAGTGTTATTGTGACAAGCCCAAAGGCCAGGCCACATCCAACACGAAAACTAGCATACAGAAGAGCAGCTCCACCTTTTATTCCTTGGACATTCTCTTTTGGGGGGCACGGCGAGTGACCGGTTGGCACGTCCGCCTCACAGCGCAGAGGCGCAGGGGTTGGATTGCTCCGGCCTTCCCGTGCAGAGCTCGCGCCTTCTCCCCGCGCCTGCGACTCGGTTTTCCTCCCACATTCCCAAAACGCGCGCGGCAGGTTGACTGAAGGCTCCAAATTGTCCCTCGGTGCGAGTGTGAGCGCCAATGCTTGTTTGTCTAGGTGTGCCCTGTGATCGGCCGGCGATCGGCTCAGGGCGAAAAATCAGCCGGGATCGACCTCGGCGCACTCGTGTCGCTCATGAGGAGAAGCGGCTCGCATAATGGATGGCTGGACATTCTCTTGCTTCCTGTTTTTATTTTTTGCTATTCTTTCGATTCCCAAAAAGTGGCCGGGCTAGGATGGCGCATTTCAAATCAATGCATTGAGAAATCCATTTTGATCAATGAAATATGTTAAGAGCACACGTGCACATATGTTGCGCATGTTTAAATTGCTATTTTTCAATCGCGCCGCGGAATCAAGATTTGCTCTCCGCAGAATCAGGCTCGCTCCCAGCGGCGTGAACGCTCCAAAACAAAGGTGGATGCATGCCCTCTTTCGATTTATTTATTTCTCTATTTGATGCCGTAATCTCTTTAGGCAATCACATACAATCCCTTTGCATGTCCTCCGCAAGCTCTTTGGCGTGATTTCAACAAGAGGGGGGCGGGGGCGGGGGCAGGGGGGGACAATAATAAGACAAGCGCAGGTTTCATAAGGCCAAAAGCGATCCGGCGGAAATGACGTGATGTTTGAAAAGCGCAGACTCGTGGAAGCAGCTGTGCAGGAAATCACTCTTGTGAAATACATTCCAGTGGAAAATTTCAAGTGTTGTCAGATTTTCCGCGGCCCCGCGCTGGAAAGGAGCGTATGGACGACGAAAAAGCGGAAGCCTTCGCCAGCCGCTTGTGCCCCCCCCCACCCCCCCGCACGCCGCGCTGCAGAAAGATGACTGCTTTGCCGCGGTCGTGTCGATGATCGCCTGCAGCGCTTGAAGCTTTGGAGCGCAGTCAATCTGCCCAACAAAACTTTTTTTTGTGTGTGTGTGTTTTTCGCTTTTGCAACAGTGGTTTTGTGATGCCGCAGAATTTCCGAAGGCAATGCGGTGGTTGGCGGTGGTTCAGTTGACAGTGACTGCTCGGTTACTCGTGACTTCCGATGGGGGACAAACACGCCTGCCATTGTGTTTTCAAGCACAAATTTAGCCTGGCAACTTGTACTGATGTTCCACTCGAACACGTTGTTACTTCAACCGACCTCCGCCGGCCCAGCTCACCTTGCCGTGCGGTCGCAATCATTCACCAGTAAGAAAAAAGAAATAAATAAATCATCCCCCACTTGCGAGTCGCGAACCGTAGCGACGGCGCCAGTTCCCAAGACCGTCCGGGGCCGGCTCACTTACTTCTTGCTCATCTTATGGAGCGGCGTGTGATGATTTTAGAGGTCAACGTGCTGAACGGGACCCGGCCTGATGTTCAAATCTAAAGTGACACACACACACACACATAGGCAGTGTTATATCAACTTTTCACTTTTCAGTGGCTAATCTAAACTCTTGGAGTTGCAGTTTCTAGTCAGTGCTCGTCATCTGGCGTGCCTGTTAAGCCACGCGAGAGGGGTCAAAGATGCAAAAACCACATCGGCTACTGCTGTAAATTGGGAATTGCTCCATCCGGAGACAAATCAAGGTTTTCTTTTCTTATCTTATAAACGCTCTCAAACATGAAGATGCAGTAGCATGAAATTTAGCTCGACGTGCCGCACAGTGCAGAATAATCTGCTGACCAACACAATTTTCGACATACCGTATTGTGATGTGAACGGCAGGCAAAAAGCGAGCCTATTTTGTATTGGGACGCATTCGAGACCCGAAGGAGTGTCCAGCGGGCGTTGCGCGCCCTCTTATGTGGCAGAAGAAGACCATACCAGCATCAAGAAACTTTTCGAAGAAATACTTGCCATGCCCACGTCATTATTGGCTGGTTGGCATGAGCAAAACACAAATATGCAGGGGAAAAATGTATTTTGGTGCTTTTCCGTTTCCAAAATAAAATGTTGTAGTTATTTATCAATTTGCTATCTATATACAGTATATTTTTTTAAATCACTGGGAGAAAGTGATTCCAGTCGCTGCACTACGCCACCAAAGCGCAGAGAAAAATATTTGGCAAACGTACAAGACAACGTTGAGAGAAATTGTATTTTACTTCTATTTCCTTTTCCATTTAGAATCACAATGAAAAAAATGCAGACAGAAATATTTTTTAAATGTACGATCAATCTTAAGATAAAAAGTCATCAAGCTCTCTGTTCACCTTATTTGATGACACTTTGTAATGAGTTTTGAATTTGCCAAACGCATTTCCAAAAAGTGATTCCGGGGGCAAACGTAAATGGCGTTCTTGTGATGATCTTAACGAGTCCACAAGCATCAGGGGGCAAAAAAAGGGGATGCTTGGAGTTGCACTTGGTCCAGAGAGACTTCTTTTTTTTTTCTTTTTTTTAAACATACACAAAAGTATCAGGATGGAAAGTACATTTTGTTTTCTTCTTCTTACTCGATTGAATTTTGTAAATATTGTTGAATTTGCAAATGCGATTGAGGTAGGAAGAAATGCAGGTCAAAATGTACATCACTGTTCAAATGGAACAATGTTTTGCTCTTTTCTCTGACCTCCGGTGAATAATTCTTTGGGATTTTGAAACATCAATCATCAAAAGAACGATTCTAGTTGCTGCACCGGGGCACCGTGACCCGTGAAACCAACTCAAACACATTACTTCACATCGGCATGCACCACGTACATGCAGCACACACTTCAAAAATGTCTCGAAAGCAGAGGAACGACAGCGCCCGTTAATGACTTACAGCTGGAAGTCGATCTTTGCCTCCTTGGCTCGACGTGCGCGGCTCTCGCTGTCCGTCCCGCCGTGGCCGTGGAGGTGAGCAAGTGAGCGCGGGGAAGGAGCGGCGCTCCGGTTTGTAAGTGACGCTCGGGACGACCGCCGGCCAGGCCACTCCTCCTCCTCCTCTTCCTCCTCCGCCTCCCGCAGCTGGGGGAGGACGAGGAAGAGGAGAGGGCACATGCCGTTGCGGCTCCGTCGTCGTCTTCATCGTCGTCACGTGCCCTGGGAGACAAAGAGCTCAGAAAAGACACGGCCAACGGCCGAACAACGTCAAATTGGGAAAAAATGGAGCGGAGGATCGTCCGCGGGGCGTACCCGATGCTTTCGCCCAAAGTCGGCTGAGAAAGGCCCCGGCTCGCGCGCAAACCGAAGGAGGAGAATTCAAAGAAGAATCATGGTAGGACACGGATGAAAATGAAAACTGCAGTTGATTGGCAACCGGGCCAGGGTGCACGCCGCCACGCGCCCACTTTCATGTTCACGCGCGACCCCGCGCTTTAGGCAAGACACGTCCGTTGAATTTGGACTCGGGCAAGTCAAGGAGGCAAGTCAAACTCGGAGAAGTCCGAGTTTGCGGGAGTAACGCTCCCTTGTCTTTGCTGCCACTCAGTCCATTTTCTAATGCGCTTCTCCCCCGGACGGTCGCGGGCGCGCCGGAGCCCTTTCCCAACGGCCCTGGGGCAACAGGCTGGGGGGGACTCCCTCAACTGCTTGCCGGCCGGCCGCGGGGCACACGGAGACAAAACAACCTTTTGCGCTCCTAATCGCACCTGCGGGACAAGACCATTTTTGTGCCTGTTTTCGTAATGTGGGAGGAAAGCGGACTACCCGGGGAAAAGCCACGCAGGCACGGGGGGGAGAACGTGCAAACTCCACTCGTGAAGGCGGGAGCCCGGAAAGGAGCCCCGCACCCCTGCGCTGCGAGCCCGACGTGCTAACCGGACGGGCTCACCAGTCATCGTCAAGAGAATGTCAAGAAATAGCAAGTGTCGCTACTCTCTGTTTCCGTCTGAAGGATTCTGGGACTGCCGCGCTTCCACTTGCGGCTCCCTGCAAGGCGCCTTCTGTATTTTCAATGGAAGGCGCCCTCTGCTGGTTGTAGGAGCTGCATGGTCACCGCAGACATTTTTTTGGGACGACCGTGACAAATGTTCCTCGTTTCCATTTTCTCGCTGTCTGGGTTGCTTTTAAAGGCTGAGAATAACCAATGACGTCATGCAATGCTTGCTTTTAAAGGCTGAGAATAACCAATGACGTCATGTGCGTTCAAATGCAAAGTCTGTTTTGAACCACATCTGAAATGTTTTCGTCTGGTTATGGGCATGCGTGGGCGGCGTGCTGTCCTGGTGGTTAGCACATGTTCCTCGCAGTTTGGAGGTTGGCTCAAATCTCCTCTGCGACCTCCAGCGCCCTTTGCATCACCCGGGTGGGTCTGCCAAAAGGTGCGCGTTTTCAGGAGAATAAGCAAAGCCAAAACACAAAAGCCCACTCCCAAATATGCAGGAACGCGCACCGTCGAGACGTGCCCTGCGATTGGTCGCGGCAACAAGTCAAGTTCCTCTGAAGCCACCGGTGCCCGCTTTGGCGTTGCTTCGAGGCAAGAGGACTTTCCCAGCGTGGGCCCTTGAGATGTTTTGCCGCGTTCTGGACATGTCTGCCCGCTTGCTTCAACTTGTCACGGGGGTTATTTATTCCCACTTGGCTCCTTGCAAAATAGTCCATTCAACGGTCGCAGTGATAATAAAGCGATATCCTCGGCAGTACATTACGGGTTCAATTTGTTCCGTGACCACGCTTGTAGCCCAAAACACTCGTATCGCAAACCATCTCTCCTGATATAGAGGAATGAAAATGCCATTTCGCCCTCGCGGCCTCTCAAGAGACATTTGGATGTGTTTTTGGATGAGGCGGCTAACAGGCTGGAATACGGTACTTTTTGAAGGACGTCATGAAATAGATGGCAACAGTGTTTTGTGCGGCAATGGAATGGCCATTGTGCCGCTTCTTCTCGCATGTGCGCCTTGGCCACCCGGGGGCAGCGTAACACGGACGTACGAAAAGCTGCCGTGAAACGAGGAAAGAATCAAGAAAAGAAAGAATCGACGCCATATATGCATCGCTTCAAGCGCTTTTACAACACGACGTTGATGCCAGCGACAAATTTGTTTCATGGCTTTGCACTGTCCAAAGACCAAGCGCACCTTTTCCGTCTCAGGAAAGGCCGCAAGATTCACGCTCGCGTCCAAAGCGACGGACTGAGAGACACGAGCAGCGGTCTTACGGTCAACCTCGCGACGGCTGCGATGCGAACTGACTAATACGCGCGGAGCCTGTACCTAAAATGCCATGGCTTAGAAATTCGCTCGATGGTGGGGGTGCGATATAGGGGTGAGGTGGGGGGGGGGGGACTGAAGAACGCTCCGATCGTCCTTCCATTGAGCACCAGGCAAAAGTGCTTCTCATCATTTGGCGTTCCCCACTGGTGCCAATGTGATGTTGTTATTCACAACACATAATATTGTTTATTATAACACCGGGATGCCAAATTAGCACTGGCAGGGCTCATCCCACATCCAAAGAAGTGTGTAAGGCTAAACAGATGCAGCGCCAAGGCAGGACTTCTGGGGAGAGGAACAGAAGGCGGCCAATAACGTTCAGGGATGAAGTGCCTTCCAAGTTTACCGTGGCGGCTTTATTTTCAATACCCCTTCAAAGGTCTCCAATCTGGCCCCTGTTGTGTCTACTTGAAGAGAGGAGGCCTTTGACGGGAAGGCCCGCGCGTCGGCTCGACGGCGCTTTCTTGTCAGGAATGTCTCATTACGGAACATTTGGACTCGGACTATTTGTGCTGGCTTTCGACAGGCTTCGGGGAAATTGTTCGGAGAAACGGCATTCCGTTTTCCCTGAAAGTGCACAAATTGACATGAGCGGACATCCAACGAGTGCCTCCTGCAAAGGGGGAACTTCGGCCTCCCTTTAAAGCAGGAGGATCAGGAGTAGACCCGCAAAAAGGTCTCGGGAAGCTATGCCCGGCCGGGAAGAAAGAGCAAGGCCAACCTTTTGGTGGAAAGCACTCGCCACAGTGTGACCCAGGCCGGGAAGCCAGTTTGACCTGGCGACATGACATTTGGTCGACATGACTATCCCGCAACTAAGTCTCAAGGAGCCGTGCTCAATGAGACGCAGGAAAACAGCAGTTTGGTTTCAGAGAAGAAACATAAGCAGAAGTTCAGCAGCTCCTGGAGCCGCTTTCACTGAGCAACATCAAATTTGCCCACACAATCGCACCAATGGGACATTTGGAGCATTCAATCGACCTACCGTGCATGTTTTCTTCAAAAGTACCCGGAGAAACCCCACGCAGGCACAGTCGGGCCTGGGCCGGAACTGAACCCTGCACCTCCGTACTGTGAGGCGGACATGCGAACCAGTCGTCCACCGTGCCGCCCTAAAGAGAATGAGCTAAAAAATGAAATGGTTTTCAAGTCAGGAAATAAAATGGTTTGACAAAATGCCGCTACTCTAAGTATGTACTGTAAGATTCGTGTTGGATGTTTGCCTTTAAGGGGCCTAAACGCCACACGGAAACGGAATCGAACCATGGACGTCTGCACTGCGAGGCGGACGTTCTCACCGCCGTGAAAGCTATTTATGATTCTTCTTCTGATCATTAGAAAAAAAAAAATCACCTTAACATAGTTCGATATTGACCACCGCAGCGGGGGCGGCGGCGTTTGAATTCGTCCAATTTGGCGTGTGACATTTTGGACTCGCTGTCCTTTGCGGATGAGTTGAATCCTGATCGCGTATTGCGCAACGCAGCACTTGCTCCACCTGAAAAAGCGCAGCACCGGTGGCACTCGGGAAGTCGCGTCGTTTCGGTTCAGGAATGCAACATCGAAGTGGGACATCTTCCGCTGAAAGTACAATCACTGCCGGCGTCACGCGAGGACGCGCGAAATTAGCGTCGTGTTAGCAGAAAGGAGTGTGGATGTTTTACCAGCCCAGAGGGCGAAAGCTCGGAAAGAGTCGTGACCGACTTTGGTGTCACATCGGCGGGCTTGATGCGCGCGGTGTTCGGTGGCCGTGGTTCTGCGGGACCCAAGCTAACCGTCACCTTGCCACATAGCCGGCCGCTCGTTACGCGGAGTGAGTTTGACCGGAGAGGCTAGCTTATTCAACGGGGATGGCTGACGGGGATTTGCCCACCGCGGGGCTTCCTCCGCGGTCACCCGCCACCGGGAGCCGCGGTTCCTCGGATGAGAACGGACACCGCTACCGCGACGACAGCCCGGACGAGATCCTGTCGCCCACCTCGGTGATTTACTTCAAGGAGGCGTTGAGCTCCGCCAACGTGCGGTTCGGGAAGGCCGGCGCCTCCCCGCTATGCCCCAAGTATGACTTCCACATCGAGAGGGTGGAATCCAAGCGGAAAAGTGAGTACCTGTACTTCATGTCCCGTGGCCATTTTCTAATCGCTCGCTTTGTTACGCAAATTGACTTGTTCAAACGTTCATGGCGGTCACGAGACTGTGAGTGCCAGACATACGCTAGCTAGCCGGGAGCTAACTAAACAAGCTAACGTCTGATTGTTGTGGTTATTATTTTTGGAATATATAAACCAGTTCGCGGGGGTGAGGGGGGGGGGGTTGTAAATAAGAAAAGAGAATAAAATGGGCAAAATGTCACACAGCTAATCCAGCCGCAAGGTAACGTCAACTAGTTTGGTGGATCACGTGACACTGTCCCGTGCCAGACAGTTTCCTTTTTAAAAGCTTTTGCTTAATGAACGCGCATAATCTTCTCTATTATGTGGTTAGATCACATATATCGATTTGATCTATTATTTTCACTCGCAAAGAAACAGCAACATATTTGTTGAAGTAAGAGAATTAGCATTTGGGCTGCTGATTCCCCGCATTCCCTACTAACTCATCACAATTTCGGGATTTCTATATGGTGGATGGAGTTCAGTCATCGCTGTCATGAAAAATACTTTACTATCGATTATCCCATTAATTGTTGATTGGGCGCAAAGGGATTTTTGCATTATAAACACAGTAACGTACATGTGAGGTGCAATTGTTATTTTTGTATCTTTGGGGCTGCCAACCACGTGTCCTAACAGTGGTGTAGTATCTGCGACTTTGCAAGTGTATGGCGTTAAGAGGCGGGACCTGGCCGAGCGAATGACGTGGGCATCAGCAAATGT